TGAGCTGCGTTGTAAAAACTTGATGGAGCCGGCTCCATCATGACGGGCATTAGCCGTGCTAGGAAAGATAATGGAAGATAAGGGCATAGGCGAAGCACCGTTCATTCATAAATTTATCGCGGAAAAATCGAACTTTCACGAAGCAATGCTTAGACGCGTGTAGGTTGCTGAATGATGTGGATTCAAAGCGGCGTAAGGCATGTGGGAGGGGAGGTGTAGGAGCCGATATCTCAGCCTAGGAGTATCGTATTGACAAGTGGTTGGTCTTGTTGTAGAGAGCAAGGAATTCTGCTTAATGCAATACCATGAAATTATTCTAGACTCGCAGGCAAAGTAGAATAATGTAGTCGTGAAATAGCACTATTTTCCCGTTTTTCCGTTGTACACTCTAGGTATTATTAGCTCTTGATACAATATATAGGGAGTGCCCCCCCCCGGGGCACTCTACGTGTGATTAGCTAGAAATAGGCTAGGCTACTGCACAGGCTATAGTTCTAGAGCTATTGTGTGGTGTGTTGCACAACACATCAGAATATGACGTCACAATGCATATATATATATTAGAATCTGCTTTGCTAGGCTGGTGTCCCTATAGATACACTTAAGAACTACTCTAAATTGGATACCATTCAGCATAAAGTTGCGAGATGGGTATTCAGAAACTATGATGATAGTGTTGATGTTATTTTGGCTCATCTTGATTGGCCTCCTCTTCGTGTCCGCTTTCTTAATTCTAAACTTATAACTTTCTATAAAATTTATCATGGTGAGATGAAAATTGGCATTCACTCTTGCTTAATGAAGCCTGTTTGCTGCACTTGACGATCTAAGCGTGATCACTGTTTTCGGCATGTGCAAACTTCTAAGGATACTTTTAAGTTTAGCTTCTTTGTTTCTGTGATTCCGTATTGGAATTCCCTGCCTTCATCTTTGGTAAATTGCAAATTTGCAACTATTTCCACTGCGATCCGCAGTCTGGATCTATCGATTTGATCCACTTCTCTCTCCGTCTTTGTTATAGTCCCCAGGACTTTTGAAGACTAACATTTATGAGGTTATGAGGATGAGGTTAACACAACTGTCACAACAGCAGTTGTTCCAGAGTGTCCAGCCATCCCGATTTTGCTCGAAATTCCCGAATCCCGACGTAACCTCCGTCAGGATAAGGAAAATCCTGATTTTCGATATTTTGCACGCACTATCTCGCGAAAAAAGTCAAGAAATATTTTCCACTTAATTTCTCACGATTGTTAGCAATAAAATTCTGAACGCTTCTTTGCCTTCCCTGCATGCATTTCGAGCCAGCGGTAAATACCATGGCATGAAACTGTATTGCGGGCTCAGGTGAACAGACGGCTCAAACTCCACGACAGATTGCGCTCTCACTGAGGCTCTGGGCTCAATCTACCACTGCTACAAGTAGATTTCCGTGAGAATTTCTAACGCTTTTTTACCACAAGTTTTACAGCGGCCAGGTTACTCGTACCCTCTGTAATAAGATTTGGACTAATAAAAGTTGCAAAGATATTAAAAATCCGACCATTATTTTATTCAAGTATTCACGTTTATTTTATATTTATGGACTTTCGGATCTCACTTATTGTCAATATTGAAGCCCATTTGATTTTCTAGCACCATCCTAGTTGTTATAAGTTGGTTTGCTGTTGACAGCTACTATACTGCTCTTTTGAAGAAGGTTTGCCAATTAGCTCTGCAGAGTACCCTCACATTTTTTTTAACATGTGCCTTTAATGGGGCAAGACCTTTAATATGGGTAAATGCAAAATCCTCAGCATTACTCGTTCTAAATGTCTCTGGACTTTTACTTTCTTGCTTTACACTATTATTATATATATGTCTTACTCCAATTAACAAATATTTGAGTGTAAAACTTGCATAAGTTGTGACATTCGCTAAAACACACATCTCGATGATTTGTCGGTCTGAACGACGTTGGCCTTCTCCTTCATTACAGTTCATTGTACTGCGAAGAGCATTACAAGGTTACAAAGTTGTACATACCTGTTAGCCTGTATATACTCACTTGTAGCCATCACTGTCTGTTACTGCTTAGAATAAAGCCATACAAGTACAAGCTACAGTAGCCTACCTAAAATGCTATATATAGTATGCTATCAGGAGTAAATAATTTGTTTGTCATTTGTTTTTGTTCACTCCTGATGCTGATAATGAGCTTTACTATATGATCTTGTTATTGTTACTTATTTATTTACAGGTAAGAAAAAGAAGGCTAACTCTACGACATGGACAACGTTCATGTTGTGGTTAGAGTGCGGCCACTCATAAAAAGGTAAGCATGAGCCAGCACGCCTTCAAAGCTGAGGTTAATTTTAGTCGACCCATAAATCCTCCAGCATACCTTAATTGCTTAATCAGCAGGCCTTAATTTCGTGCAGTGTGTACCTAATTGACATTATATCTACCCAGCTAGATATATATCAGGAGTTAATAATGACAAATTGTCATTATTAACTCCTGATATATGATATATATATGTTTCTGAAATTATTATGTTTGCCGGTGCATTGAACTTGAAGATGCTTACCATGCACTTAAAGTGATTACGTCACCGTAAATAGTAAAAATAAAAAAATAAATTCCACTTTTTCACAAAATATAAGTAATTCTTTTCACTTTTTATGGTTAAATTGCCGCATTATACTTCCTGTTTTACTATATTCTTTGATGTGAACATACACTCGTGACTCATACATAGCCCATAGCACGCAATTATAATGTCAGGAAC